ATTTTATTTCAATTATTAAACTGTTTTTTATCTCAACCCATGAGTTTTTCTCACTTATGCTCTTCCAATTCTCTCCCCCATCCCAGCAGGGGGGGTGGGGGGAGTGAGCGAGCGGCTGCATGGTGCTCAGTTGCCAACTGAGGTTAAACCACGACAGGTACAAAAAGATAAAAGGTCACTGCTAATGGTGAGATGCAATGGAAGTGTTTAAAATCAGTTATAACTTTAATGTAGTTTATACAACTCTTACATAAGTTACTATTGTTATGCAAGGCCAGAAGTACATATTCTAAAATGCATACTCCTGCTGATGGAAGTAAAAAATAACGGTAAAAACGTATTTCAAAATTAAAGATAACTTAAAATTAAACTGATGTTTATTTTAAATATAATAACTAATATTTATTTTAAGCATGGTAATTGTTAATGATAACAAAAATGATAGATGAACTCTTATTAATGAATTGTAAGGTACCATTTTACAGTGAATCTTAAAATATTGCCTTACTTGTGGCATCGATCTTGCATTGCTTTGATTTCTTGCATGACTGGTAGTTCCTCCTGAGAAGGAGGCTTTATTTCCACATCCTGAAGCATGCTGACAGCGTGCTGTCTGAGCAGGCCCAAAGATGACAGCTGGTGCTCCACCTCCAGAAGGAAACTGCTGTGGTAATCCAGAAGTTCCAGGAGATCTGTCTTGGATGCCTTTTCCACTGAGCTTTCTGGTAAGCGACCTTGTAGCTGATCTATTGCTATGGTGGTTTTCTGAATCTACGGAAAGAGATGCAGTCTTGGCAATAATGAAATTAAAAAGAAGCTAGTACAACTGATACCAAAAGGTGCTAAGCCCAGTGCTGTACATTTAGATGTTGTAAAACAGTTGTGGTATAGGGCTTGTGCAGCAGTCTCTATAGCAGATACAAATCTATACTCTAATGTCCTAGATCTAGCTAGCCAGCCCTAGTTCTTCACACGGAACTAGGACTTGCTAAGGGACTTTTTTGTCAAGTGATGAATGGCTCCTCGTATTTTTTAGCATATATTATCTTTACTGCCACAGGACCTAGAGCTCTAACCCAGGGCAGATCTGTATTTGGCACAAGTCATACATTTAACAAAAAGATTATGCCCATTCTCAGAGAATCTTCAACGTGAGCATAAAATAATGGACAGCGACAGATAAAAAGAGTCAGATAGAATATAAGGGGAAAAAAAGAGACACATGATCGGTGAGCAGTGACAGGCTATAATATCACTGCATAAATTTAGAAATAGCAACTTCATACTCTTCAGGTGGGAAAAAAAAAAAAGAAAAAAAAAGAGGTTGACTTAATCTAGAATAGACCATGTAGGGAAGGGAAACATAGAGGAGAAGATTCTGAAGAACCACCAGAAACCACAACAACTCTGCATTTACTATACATGTATGCATACAGAAGAATAGTGCAAGCCTTGGAGGCAGTGGTTCTAAACCTAGGTTTTCCATAGCTGTTTTTTTCTATGACATGAGAAAAATCACTGTTATTCCTGCTATCAGCTTTCACTACCATATGATGATTAATAAGGCAGTATAATGAGTGAAAACCTATGTACAGTTAACAAAGGAGGATTTACCAAGACGAGAAGTTACCTTATCATTAAAGCCCTTCCATTCCTGCACTGCATCTTCCAAAATTTTCTCTTGTTCTTGGGCTACATTCCGGAGCCGTGTCCAGCGCTGCCAAACTGTTGTCATGGATCTACTTATAGTTGCCTTACTGGCATCATTGCTAACTTTTTCCAGCTGTGAAGCCTTTTCTTCTAGGGCTGTGATCTTCTCATGGAAAGAATTCACCACAGACACAAGAGTCTGAAAAAGCAAAAATAAGCAGTTTTCCTCTTTTACAACACAACTCATAACTATTCAACACAATTGCAGGTAGATGAGCCACTTCCATGCACTGCAAAGAGGAGGTACCCTCTGCTGAGTGAAGTTGTGAGGTCTCACTTTATTTTTCATACGCAATATATTAGCTACAGCTACTTGAAGGACCTGGTCCAAAATGCAACTCTCTGGAAGCAGCAGAAGGCTGGTGTAATTAGATTTTCTCTTCCTTGCTAGCCCCTCAAAAGGGATGGAAATGAATATTCAGGACCCTTCTCAGAGCAAAGACTGACTTGTATTAGAGTCTAAAAATGAAAGAAGCAATTCAGGTGTTTAAGTACACACTTATGTCATGTTTATCTCTAATGCCATTTTAGATGTCCAAGGTTATCAGGATATTCTCGTGAAGCTGGCAGACATGACATTACTTTTAGGGGAGATTCCTGCCTTCGCAGAGACACAGCTGAAGACCGGGCAGGATGTCTGAAGTGTCACTAACTGCCTATATTAAGGCAACTGATTAGTACCCTAAATACTAGAGGAGAAAGTAATTCTTTTAAGTTACATTTCTTTCTTTTAGGCTAAACAAGAGTTAATAATAAACCCCAACCCTTCCTGTCCTAGTAAAACTATTTCATGTGATCCAAAGTAGATGGATGTTTCTGTTGTTCTGAATTTCTTGTAGGGTACACAGTTTTGGGATTTAAGCACCCAAGGCTTTTAGGAACCTCCTGGTTCCTTCCAGTTCTCTACAGTCATAGGCACAGACAGACATTAAGCTGAAAAACAATTAAAAATATCTGTCCCTGTCACCCCACAAATAAAATGTGTGTTCTGCACAACACAAAACACCTCTTGGTGTGCTACGACACAATTAAGCGCTACAGGATAAGATCTAAAAACTCAAATTCACGTTGCCACAGGTAGGGACCTACATAACATCCATTTATTTTCACTGAAGGAAAAGGATTTCATATAATTTTCAGTACCTTACCTTATGTGTTAGCAATTTCTCTTCTGCTTCATGAGAAGAAGCAGCTTTAGCTACTGAGAATTCAGATAATTTTTTCTCAGCCTCATTCATCACTTCAATAACCTTCTGTCTTGCTGTCTGGTACTCCTGCCACTCAGAAGCACACCTTAAAAATACATTTCCAGAAAGAACAATTTAATGCAATATAAAACCATTTGAAAATCAGGAATATTGTTGCACCTAGTTTTCAATGTAACTGCTTAGTTTTGCTGTTACACAGTATTTTCCAAGAAAAAGAAATATTGTTGGGAAAGAGCATACATAGAAGTACATGCTCCTGATTTTCAGCTGTGCCTTACAGACACAGCTTGGCATTTAATAGCCCTTGATTGACTTTTCCTCATTTCTTTCTTTCATCACCCACAAGGTGATCTTAAAATGAAAGGAAAAAAAAAAAAGAAAGATGAATATACCTTTGCAACTGCTCTTGCTGGGTTTTGGCTTCTTTCTTTGTCCCTTTGGCCTTTTTCTCCAATGCAGCTACATTCTGCATCATCTGCTCTCTTGCTGTGGCTTGGATAAAGGGCTCTATCTCAGACACAAGGCCCTGTAACTCCTTCAAATGATTACTGAACTGACTTTCTGTGCTGAAAAACTCAATGTGGTTCCTTAGGTTCTCCTCAGAGTTCTCAACATCAAGACCATTTCTTGCTAAATGTAGAAATTCCTGAGCATCTTCAAACCAGTCATTTGCTATCTGCATCACTTGGTAGTATCTTTGGCAGAGGCTATATAATTTATTCAAGGTAGCCTGAAATAAAAGGGAAAATTATACAGAGGGTCACAGACATAAAATTCACAGCAGCAACAAAAATATCCTCTGCTGAGAGTCTGGATTTTGCCCATTCTTGCTTTCTTTTCCCTTTATTGTATCTAAAATACAGGTCCAGAGAGACTACATGGAAGTAGGTTTTGAGTGAGTTTGCACTTCTCCATGCAGGTATAATGCATATTAAGGAAGCCTTTACCCCTCCCCCCCAAGTTATCCATGGCAACAGGCCACAACCGAAGTCATTAAAAAAACCAAACAGTATTATTAAAATCAATCTTTACATGATGATTACAAACATCAAGCCACAGAGCCATATTTTTCCAGCTTCGTGAGCAAGAAATTAATGACACTTAGAGTGAACTAACCTGTCTCATGTGTATAGCTTCTTGAACTTCACCGTCTAGTTCTGTCAGCTCAGCAAGAGTGTTTTCCAGGTCAGCAGGTATCAGCTCTTTTGCTTTCATATATCTCTCTTTCTCTTTATTGCTCAGCGCATTCATTATTCTCAGGCTTGACTGCACTTCTTCCTGATGTATCTGAACCTTTCGGATTTCTTCTTGGACGCTTTGCAGTTTGAGGTCCAAACTTAATGTTCCATTAAGTTCTGTTTTCACCCATCTCAACCAATCAAGCGAGCGGCAGATTTCTGTCTGGAAGTCTATGCTTTGCACAAGTCTGTTCTCACACTCCATCACGGTGTCACCAATGGCAGCATGCAAAGACTTTAGTTTCTCTTGCCAAGACTGCACTTGGTGATTTGCTGTCTCACATGCAGATGAGTCAAGCTGAGGAGAAAGGGCTTCCAGATGTTCAGTTATTCGCTTCAGAAGACATTCTGAGTCTTGCAAGCTGCCCACCAGAGAATGGTATATTTTCAACTTTTCTTCTATTGGGAGTGTTTCTTCATTTACCTTAATCTGCTCCTTCTTCACTGCCTCTAGTTGTGCCTCAAACTGCATACGCATTTTTTCATGCTCCTGGCATGCTTCTATTGTGTCTTCCAATAGGTTGATTTTCTGTTCTATTTGCCTCTTCAACTTGTGATATAGCGTGACAAGTTTTAGCATCTCATCTGGTTGCCACGGCTGGCCAGTGCTTCGAAAGGCCTCCTTCTTCTGGTTTAGTTCATCCACTGCTGCACCAAGGCTCACTGCTTCACCTAAGAGATCTCTGTAGGCCTGCTGGAGTGACACAGCTTCTTTGGCCAAAAGAGCAGCTGGAGCTTTGTCCATGTTAATAAACTGATCTTCTAGCTCAGTCAGAGCTTTACTTGTCAACTCAATCAGAGAGACATACTCTTTTCTGGCATAAATTGCTTCCTGAACCTTATATAATTTTTCTTTTGCCAGAGCAGTGACAATATTGAATTGCTGAGGGAGAATGTTAAGTTTTTCTTCCAGATAAGAATGATCCACTTCATTAAGTGATGGTAGGATTTCTTGGCCATCTCTTTGAAGTGCAAGTAACAGATTTTCATATTCTGGAGATTGCTCAAGAATCTGTTGATATTTTGCCAACTGCATGTATAGTTCAGAGTTACTATTCATTACATTGACTTCTGGGAATGTGACGATATCGGCTTGTTTTAGCCAATGGCAAGCTTTATCCAAGTCTTCTTTGAAATATTTCCTGGAAACTATGTTTTTCTCCAGTTCTAACAATCTCTGGTTACACTTTTGTAAAACGGTGTCATACACATTCTGTAGTTCTTGCAGTTTACCTAACACTTCACCCTTTTCTTGTTTTGTTGCTTCTTTCATTAAATCCCTTCCTTGAGCCCACAACCCCGTGACTTCATTTTGATAGGCCTTCAGGTTAGCCTGGGCATTCTTACAAGTCCTGATCTGTTTGTTCACATCTTCCGGCAATAGACAAATATGTTCTGGAAACGTTACCTTCTTCTCATGCTGATGAATTTGGTTTGTAGCCTGAAAGACTGCCATAAGAAACTGGGTCTTTTCAGACAGTGCTTTATTCAGGTGCTTTCTCCTCTGGCCAACCAGGTCACTGAGACAATGTACATGGTGCTGTGCATCAGAAAGCGCTTTCTGCAGCTCCTGCCTTTCATTGAGCCCTAGGTTGGTCATCACCCTGTCAGCATCCTTCACAAGCGTCTTCAGAACAAGCTGTTTGGCTTCAAGCTCACTGCAAATGGTAAGATGATCCATGAGAAGACTCTGAGCCAAATCTGGAGGAGGGCTCTGTTTAAGAGCCTCTGAGATACTAGGTTGCTGCTCCTCTGCCCATTCCATTAGCTCCTGAAATTTGGAATGCACCAAACTGAGCTCTTCTAAGGTTGAAACAGACACTTGTATTTTCCTTTTGACAAGGTCCTCCAGCTGAGTCCAGCGTTGCTCGAAATGACCAAACTGCTCCTTTACTAATTCTTTGTCATCAAGATTCAGATGTTCTATCATCTTCTGTTTCTGATCTTTCAAATCTTCCAGAGCAAATCTCCTTTCCTGTAGCGCCAGTGCCAATTTTTGCAAAGCTTCAAGGTGCACGTTTGTACTTTCAGCATCAGATCTGTTATCAAAAAGGACAGGATGGAAATTAATTACTAGATCCTATCTCAGGATAGACTTTTAAGAGAGGTCAGGATGAACTATAAGTCCACTATATACTGAAATCAGTATTATATAAATACCTACAGTTTTCACATTCTTTTGAAGGTACCAGTCTTGAATATTAATTAAAAAGTTTTTTATTCCTCTCCCTTTCATCTGCAACGTGGTCATCAGGCTGACCATACAAATGAACATGAATACTACAGAGTATACTGGTTATATTGCACATATGAACAACAACAAGTACTGAGATTGAAGTGAATCTTGTTCCATGACAGTGATGACAGCAGTAATAGACTCTCACAATTTTACACACAGCTGGTGTGTTTATGCTATACAAAGCAGCTGCAATCATTTAGCAGAAGCAACTAAACAGTAATATAATAGTCTAATAGATAAAACACAATATCACAATGAAAAACACACATGAAACACAGTAAACACAAATGAAAGAGTTCAAACAAAATAGCCAAAATGCTTGAAATATCAGAAAATGCTACACCTTGAGGTGGGATCAACCAGTACTTGCCTTAAAGACAAACACTGAAGATCTGGCTTCTCAAACTCTCTTTATTTCAATACAAGTAATTGTCCTATAATTAATAAGGGAGGGCTGCTTTTAATTAAGCATGGAAAAAGGGATTTTTAGTGGATCCAAGACACTAAAGAGTGTTTAGAGACACTCTGTAAACAGACCGCTCTTTCAGCATATATGCACTAAGTCAGCTTTGTGCGCTACTACATTTTTTACCTAGCCAGGTTGTCCCACTCTTTTGTGAGCTTTTCCAAGAAAACTTCAACTACATTCATGCGATCATGATAATCCCCTGTCCTCTGCAGATCCTCCTCCCTCTGTATGAGCAAACTGTGTGCCTGAAGGCAGAGGTCCAGCCACTGGTTGCTCAGCTCTCCTATTTCCTTGTGTTCAGGCGATTCCTGTCCTTGGGTTAGTTTGTTCATCTTCTCAGTCACAGAGGTAAGAGCTGACTGCTTAGACTGCAACTTCTGACTGAATTCCTGAAAAAGATACAAGTCAAAACCAATATGGTGACACCTACTCAAAATTATAAGATGGAATTTAAATAAAAACTCTGAAATAAATAAATTTCGTAAGGACTAATTATCTCCCCAGGCAAATGCTGTGCAGATGTAAATTGGAAGAAGTGCCTTCTCCCCTCCCCTAACATTTCTCCTCATATTCTCAGTGGGGACAGGTTGATTATAGATGTGAAAGCAAACCAGAGCAGTTTTCAAGTGCCAGTGATAAACAGAAATCACAATCAAGTCACACCTTGTTGGCCAGGCTTCTGGGCTAGCACAGCTCCCACCGTACACTAAAACATGCAAGATAGTCTGGGCCTCATAAGAATTCGTTTTAGCAGTGCTGTTTCTAGCTCATTGTTTTCCCTTTTCCTTTTTCATTAGAGACTAAAGATAGGAAGCAGAGTCCATGAGTCAGTGAGCCCCCACATCCATACTTTGTTTTGTTCCTACTTCTACAATAGCGACCATTATCGCTGTCATTATTGAAACAAAGCCAATGATTATCTAGGTATGATTGCTATTTGAGTTAATAAATTCCAGTAAATAAAAAAGTCCATCTGCACACACATTTCTTACTGAATAAGAAGTCACAGAGAACACAAAAAAAGAACATACCATATACTGACAACTAAAACTAACCAAATATTTTTCAGCACTTGCACACTGCCTAGGGTAAATATAATCTTTTCCCATATTCCAGTTCCAATAACGGTAACTAAACAACCATGCCCAGCTCCAGCACTTTGCTGGGATGATGCGTTTTCACTGAGGGCTGGTAGGGGTTCTGGAGAAGAGATGCTATTCCCCAGCTCCATCTCATTCCTCTTTGTGACTGCTTCAAATGGAGCTAGGCATCTTCAATTACCAGGGCAAACTGAAAAAATAACACATTGTGCCACATCTGACAGTACATCAGGTGCCTGCCTTTTCTAATAATCCAAAGTTCCTGACTGAAATAGTGATGAAATACTGACTCCCGCATCTTCCTGGACTCTAATGATAGCTAGTGTAACAGCTTTTAGCCCATATTGTGCTTAGGTATCTTCAAGGGCTATGACTTTGTTCAAACACTTGTGTAGAACAGACATGAAGAAGAAGTGCTGCTTGCTTTTCACCTAACTCCTAGCATATCAGAAAAAGAATACAAGCAAAATCTATATCAAAAATGCAAAACCCAAGCATTTCATCACTTATGAAAGAAATAATCTGTTTTCCTGTTTCTTCTTGTTACTTTACTGATGTTTGTGACGTGTACAGAATGGCCATAAAAATTCTTTCACCTATAAATGAATAAGAACGAGTGAAGATCTGAAGGCATTTGTCTCGCTATTTCGGGTAAAATAAACTGGGTTTCTATCATACCTATTCTCCAGTGGTTTTCAGAGTCCAGCAACATTGAACAGTTTCCTAGACTAATTCTGAAATAAATCTAAATAATTTAGAAGTATTGGAAGCAAAGAACTTAGCAAGCACAAATTGCAGATCTTATCTTCAGGTCCACTGTGATCAACAATTAGCCTATTAAAAGTGAAGGCAAATCAGAACAGTAGGCTGAAAACTGTCTACTGTTAAAAAACCAAACCCACAAAGATATTGAAGTACAGTGTTTTGCTTTCTGTGTCACCCTGTAGCATCAATAAGGAAACCCTCTTTCCTCTGTCTTCTCTGCTCTTGCTTAGAACATTTCAGCAATTCTATGCAATACGTGCATATTACATGAATTATAATATCAGCCACAGGATGAACTTCTTCCTTACCTTCTGTTCTTAACCTAAAGTCTCCTTACCTTAACCTGGAGTACCATATTCTGGGCAATGTTTAGCTCCAACTCTGCCCGTCTCCTTTTCAAATTCTGTAGTTGTTGATCTGCATCCTGGAAATATATCCAGAGCTCAGCCTTCATTTGTTTGATCTCTTCCCAACCTTGAGCCAAATACTGTGAGTGCATTATTTGTTGCTCAATCTGGAACAAAAGAAATTAAAAGGAGTAGGAATGCTTTAAGACACCTATTTTTGGAGTATGGACGATGAATACCATTCTTCCTCTGAGCACAATATTGTACTAACAGCAAATTTCTGCACTAAATTCTGAAGGGGCTAATATTATCCACAAAAAGAGTCTTAACCTTCAGAAGTCATAAAAAGCAGACCTATCAAAGGAAAGTTGTGGAACAAAAAAAAAAGAATGATCATTCACCTTTGAGAGAAGCAAGTATATTTATGAGTGCGTGTATTCCAAGGTGTTCTCAGCCTTCTGTTAAAGCTTAAATTAACTGTACGATTTAGTCCATTGCATGTCAAGAATACTGCTGGACTGTGCCCTATATGCCTTCGCAATGACCAAATAAAAGCTAAAACTACGCACTGTCATTTAATTTGCTTAGCCCAGTTTGTTTGCCTATGTGCCTTTTGTAAAATGCCAATAAGAAGAATGCTTACCGGATCTGAGCCCATCAATCACCTTAAACCAATAGTCACACAGCTTCTTTTGCTCCAGTAGGGCACCTTCAAGGTTTAGACACTCAACCAGCTTAATATATCTCAGCACTGTACCGTCTGTTAAAAATGTTTCACTGCTTTACATACAAAAGGAGAATCTTATTCTGAGTTCTGAGATACTTTTTAGCTATTCAATATTTGGACTGCCATTTTTTTATGGATTACTTGGATTTGTACAATTTGCTTCTCTGGTATGGAATACTGTTACTGTATATATTAGATTTTTACTCTTGGTAGAAGTAGTTTCAAAAGTTTGGTTGTGTGTATGTGAAACTAAAATTTTTGTGTTTACAACAACAGGAATGCTCATAATGTTTCTTTTCTAATAACTCTTATGTTTATAATTTTATTCTAAAACCAATCATTAAGCTACTTTAAAACTTAAAATTGAGGTACACTTCTATAAATTCATACGCTGAAATAGATGCACTCTGATTTATGAATTGAACCATTATAATTTTTTATGATGATTATAATATGTTATTATATCCTAATAAGAACATCAGTCTACTGTTGAATAAATAATAACAGTAAAATATGTCTAAGCTTTAATAAAATACAGAGAAGAATAGATTGAATTGTGTTTTATGAAAAATAAACAATTTGGATCAGGTTTTCTTCTGTTTTATGAAATAAACAATTTGGATCAGGTTTTCTTCCATAGAATGTTATCTGTGTGGCTTTAGGCCAACATCTTGTAACATTGCCTAAGTACCTTTAGCAACCTTTGTCATGTGTCTTTGTATTAGTACAAGGATAGCAATGTGTGGATTTAATCAAAAAAAAAAAAGTAGAAGAAAGAAAGAGAAAACTATTTCTAAAAGAAATACTTAAGATGAAAGTAAAAATACATTTCTTTAAACCATTACCCAATATGACCTTTTTAAAAGAGGACAGATCAAGACAGCTAAAGCACTAAATAGGATTAAAAGCAGGTTGTTGTGGTTATCTTGTACCGTTTGTTTTGTTTGTTGAATATCTGTTGCTGTACTCTTCACTGTGGCATCTGACAGATCACACATGGAACACAGAAGATCCAAGTATGTATTGGCCTGCTCCTGCAGCGCCCGGAAACTTTTCACCTGAGAGAATACAATCCTCAAATAAACTCTGAGACTGTAGAAATAATCTCTTATTTTATTACAAGCATGCATTTTAGTATTTTTGCTTTAGCTCATTATTTCCAAAAGATGAAATGTAGACATACGCTATTTTATTAGGTAAGGCTGCTCTGTCATAATTATGGAAAAGAGTAACTTTAATTGATTATCACCCAATTATCAAAGCGCTTAGTGACATATGCATTACCTATCTTATTTCTTTATAAATAAAGCGTTGGATAGATACACACAGTTTCAACAAGGTAACTTACTTTCCCAAGGTGAATGGGAAGCAGGGTTTTATCTGATTATTAAAGTGTCACGTTGCCCATACCTATAAAATTCTCCAGTGTCCAACAGATCATGGGGAATCCAGCCCAGTGGCACAACACGCTTTCCTCACACCTTCTGAAACCCTCCCAACATCCCCAATATCTACAATTGCCAAGATCAGACAACATGATGCTGTTGAGGGTTCTTGCTCTCAACATTGCCCGTAGGAGCTCACCTCTCCCTGTGAAGAGTTTCCTCATCCCAAAAGAAAATGATATTTGTGTTGACAAGCAGGGCAATAACATACCTCCTAGAGTCCCAGGGAGGAGGGGTGAGCGACCACCTAATGTAGAGGGCCAGTGGTGGGTCCTTGTGGGCAAAAAGTTGAACACGACAGCAGTGTGCCCTTGTGGCAACCCCAAATTACTGTATTAGCAAGGATGCAGAGAGCAAGTTGTGGGAAGAGATTATTCTTCTGCACTTACACTTGTCAGGCTGTGCCTGGTATATTTGGCGCAGTTTCTCTCTTCCCCCATAGAAGAGATATGGCAAACCGGTGCAAGTCCAGCAAAGGGCTGGGGGGATATGGGGATGTAGTGCATGGCATTTGGGCAGGTCTGAAGGAACTGGGTTTGTTCAGCCTGGAGAAGAGAGGCTAACTGTGGTCTGCCATTACTTAAAATGCTAGGGGTCAGGTGGGGGCAGTGCTGAGAAGACAGAGCCAAACTCAGCTGAGGTGAGCAGAAAAAGGATCAGAGGGAAAAGTGACAAGTTGCAAGAAGGAAATTCTTCCTAGATATCAAGGGAAACTACTTTTCACACTGAGAACAGTTAAGCACTGGAACAGGTCCCTAATCCTCAGGGATGGTCAGGGCCCACAGTGCACCAAAGGGCTCTGCAATCTCTATCCCCCGCTCCTTGGGGTTTGGCTGCCTCTGCTCAGGGCCAGCCCTGACATGGCCTAGCTGGGACCTGGCCAACGGAAAAGCATTCAGAAGCCTTCCCCCTTGCTTGAGAGCTGCATGTAAGCTCAGGCCCTCACCCACCTATGGACCTCACCTGAGCTACGCTATAGGTGCATCTGTGTCTGGCTGATCCTCCTGGTCTTGCTTTGCTGCCCTGACCTCCTGCCTCCACCCAGGGCTGGACTCATCCCTACAGACTTGCCTGGTGATCACCAGATGGTGGCTGACACCAGGGGGACTCTGCTCTCCTCACCAGTGTGCTGCAGGTCTGCACGTCATTGGGGAGGTGCTGCCCTGCTGGCCTCACTCCCTGCTCCCCCCGCCCCTGCAGAGCTGCCATCTGTAGTATTTCAAGGTCTCTATTAAGCCACATGGTGGATGACACAGCCCTGAATTCCAGCATTTTTAGTACCATACCAGTTTAATTTGAAAACAAGGTACAAATCCAACGTAAAATACATTAAGTTACTAAGAATAATCAAGAAGCAAAGAAACCATTCTTAATGGCTAATGTGGGCTAGTGGCAGTTCTATGCTCTTAAGCTGAAAAATTGTTTTAATTGCCTGATAACAGACTCTGTGTCCATGGTACTATGAAACCAGGCCTTACATAGGAACATTAAGAGACAGATGGGCAATTGGACAAGCAGAAAGACACAACCTCTCTGCTAAACACATCTGTGGAGTATCTGAGCAGGTTTATCTAATTAGCCAGCTTTTTTTCAGGTAACATATTTCTAAGTATTAAGCAGAGCTAGCAAAAGCCCTGTGTGATTTTTCACCTACGGTTATTTTTCACTCAAGGTATTCCTTTTGCAGCTGGGAATAAACAATGAGGCTATACAGCCCTCTGAGAAGGTCAGAGAGAGTATCTAATTTCTATTAATATAAAGCTCTTACTTGAACTCACCTTATTAAGCACAACTGAACATTTTCAAGTGCTGAACTTTTACCTGTTTAACTGCATCTGCCAGGCTGAAAGGTGGCCAGGTAGTTGGCTTTAGCTCTGACTGCACTGTAGACAGCCAAGTCTGGCACTGCTGTAGGGTATCCTGATGATTAACATGCTTCTGGAGTTCATGTTCCAAACTCTGGTACACCTAAAGGAAATATTTTGTAAGGTCATCGCATTTTTAAACACCACTATTGGCTCTCTTCTCCCACCTTGAAAACTGCAGATAAAACAGAATTATTAAGACTGTGGTTATTTTAGCCCTTGTACATAAATGTACCAAGCAACGAAAGCTCCTTAAGCTCTCGCTGCAGCTTGCTAATTTGTGGAGCACATGGACACTATCTAAGGCACGGCTTCTGGAAAGAAAAAATAAAGATGCAAACAAATAGCATTGTCTCTTATTTCTGTATTCTTGTTCAACATTTTGCCATTGATCTAGTATGAGGTTTTAGGTACCTCTACAAATCTTACTGACTATGAACTCTACTTTTTGGGTTTTGTTTTGTTTGGGTTTGGGGTTTTTTTTTTGTGTGTTGGTTTTTTTTTTTTTAAGACTATGCTGACTTGATCTCCTAATTGGATTAACAGAATGACCCAGCTAGCTTTTCTTAACCATATATTCTGGTTTTACCAAGAGAGACAGTATTTCCTAGCACAAAATTAAGACCTGTTATGTACATTTGCAAGCTACTGACACTAAGGGTGCAATTTGTTCCCTAGTTTTTGAAGTAGGAATAGTTCTAATGTCTTTGCTGCAGCTGCTCAGGAGCTAGTGTAACATGAAGGTAGTGAGGGTGTGGAGAGATTAAGGTAAGAACTGATAGGCAGCTAGTTTTGCTGGCTGCAAGGCAACATTTGGATCACAAGGAATTCAACTGTAGCACAATAATGACGAAGTGCTACATTAGTAACCTGTAGGCTCAATTTAAATGGAAACAGTAGAAAAAGTTTTACCCCCATTTAAAGAAACAAGTACTTCGAGAAATAATAATGCGTGTTATTCCTAAATGGCATAAAAATATTTTTGAAACAAGACTTACTCTTTGGGCTGTGCTACATATGGCAGAATAGCTGTCCTTTGTCCCCTGAAGATGGCTTTGTATGTTTTGCTTAAATTTTGCTTGAAGATGTTCTGTGCATTGATTGATCAAGTAATCGCCTTTACTCTTAAGGTTGTTCAAACGATCTTCAAATCCTGCAATTTCTTCCATGATAGCCTAAGAAATAGATAAAATACTTTTGAAGAAATATTTTAAAACTTAAAACATGTTCTGCATCACAGCTTTTTAAACGAGCTTTTTCTTTTTTTTCCTTAAACACTCTTTGTCTTTGGAAAAAAGTTTTCAGCCAATGGAGTTTTCAGCTTTGGAGTGGTGACAGAGAAGCAAAGAAGAAAAATTTTGTTTTACCAGACAAAGGAAGTTACCCAATAGCAAACCCACCTTGTGGTTAGCCAGTTGCTGAGTGATTATTTCAAGATTGTTACTTTCCATGAGGTCAGGGCTGACCAGCCTGCTGGACATATGTAATAACCATTTCTCCCCTTCTTGCAAATCACTGTTGTAATCCTCGTGTTCTTTTACTTTCACCTCTAAGGTTTCAACGTATGCCTGCAGGTCCACAATAACCAAAATTAAATATTCAGGTAATTACAAGAATTAAAAACAGCCCCAAACCAAAACCCACCAAGAGCTTGAAAGCATAGTAAGAGAGTTATCTTCTAAATTTATATTCCTGTGAGGGACTCTCATGTGATTAGACTGTTAAGGAAGACATCAAAGCGATTCCTTGTGTGAATAAACTCTGAGGTATTGAGCAGTATTTTCACTCCACATGAAATACCACACTTTGAGAACTGAGGAAAACACTGAGGATCTCTTTGCTTTAAGAAAATGAACACTGTCAACTTGACATAAAGTTCACTTAGAAACAGTTATTATACACTCTTTGAGAGACTGCACATGACCTATTGGGTCCGTGCTGCCTACAGCCTTTGCATGTACATATTGCCTGTGAATGTGGTAGGCAAATTAAGAATGTACACGTTGAGTTAAAATGTATTTATTCTTTTTAAGAAAGATTTTTCATACGTTTCTCTACATTTAAGTCATCAACATTACATCTAATGCAACAGATACCGGTTTTGTGGTACAGATCAGAGGAATGTCTGTAAATCAAAAGTCAACCATGAAAAAAATAAAATCATCTGCTATTGGTGGATGGATTGGCAATTAAAGATACTTAGGTCAAACATAAGTACTAACATGGTTTGCAGAGCTTATCCTTGTTAGGAGTGTAACCTATTAAAAGCTTTAGGAATAATCATACTTTAGGACATATTTAGAAGTATTAGATCTTTCAAAGTACTACATACATGTGGACTAATGAATCAATGTTAATTAATAATGCCCTTGCTGAATTAAATTATATCCATCTTGCATTTCATTTTCTCCAGTGACTTCCATTCAACAACTAAACTAGATTAAACAGGGGTTGTGCAAGATCTAGCAGAAACAAGAGACAAAATGGTATATTCTAAGGGCATCTGTCTCTTCAAGAAATAACGTATTTAGAAATCTATTCAAAGCAATTAAAAATAGTAACAATAGTACAAACTAGTCACTGATATATTTCCCCTTAGTGCTACGAAGGATTCACCTGCCACTCTCAAAATTCATTTCAGCTACTCTTGTTAGATTTATTAAGGTAGAATTTCTTTCCATATTCAAGAATTCCCCCTCTCCAAAAAAAAAAAAAAAAAAGTAATTATCTGGCACTCTGTACAGGGTGTGACATGACAACATGAAACAAATAGTCAGCTTCTTAAAGAGCGGAAAAAATATAGCAAATTGAAAGAACTTAAAGTTTTCTTCCTGACTTTTTACCTTTGTTGTGCTGCAGAGTTCTTGGTAACTGCTCTGAAGGTCTTGAATGTTGTTCTTTAGAGTCACATCATTCACCAGATCAAGAAGTACTTCTCCCTTTTCAATCACTGATTTTATTGAAGGCTCATGGGACAGAACAGTCTGCTGTATGGACTACAATGCAAGCAAGAATTAAAATACATATATTGAACACTGAAGATCTATTTCACTAACTTCCCTTTGACCTGAAGCACAGCCTTCTATCATGGTATATATCATCCTTTCCAGATGAGAAGAGCTACTACCAGTACAGGACTATGTTTCTTAGCTGTGCCCTGAGACAACAACATTGCAGGCATCTAAGAGCAATTGCTCTTTTTGTGAGTGGCTAGTAGCACGGCTGATAATCTGGAGCTGGTGAAGGAGAGGGAGTTAATATGTGTGAAGGAGTAAGTGCTAGGGATAAAACTTGCTCAGAGGAACAAATTCTGCAAATAGGTAGGAAAATATCGCCAAAGCCATCCCCTTAATGAGACAGTATGTAGACGAGTGCACAAGACTACTCTCGAGAGTATGCAATCTGATCTGTTATGTCATTGTGCCACTGGCTCAGGCAGCATGGCACATGCCAGCATCTATCAAATGACAGTGAGATACCAGCTCCCCAAACATGTAGAAAGCAAGCGCACAGCTATGACATATGACTTTGAGTACTGAAGCTGGCAAGGGGTAGTAGGCAGTTTCAGAGAGAAAGCCTTGATGCTGTGCAGGTACTGCTCAGCAATAGCCAAAACCCTGGTTTGTTAGCAACACTGTTTTATCCACAAATGTAAAGCACAGCACTATATGGGCTGCTATGAGGAGAGTTAGCTCCATCCCAGCCAGACCCAGTACACATCTTATGAAACATCTGTAATCCTGGAGTATTTTACGAAAACATCATTAAGAGAAACAATGGGGTTTGTTGTCAATTTTTTCTACTCATACTTATGACTGGAGAAAAAAACCAAAACAAAAAAACAAACAAAAAAACCCCAAAAACACTTCATTAAAATCCTAACTAAAAACAGAGGAGGCCATAGCAGCTGACTGTCTTAGATGTCAGTTGAGCTGGGACATTCAGCTTTAACCAGAAAGCTGATTAAGCCAATGTAAACAGAGGCAATGTCTGCAGTGAAGAAAGACCAAGTGATTTCTATCCTTGCTTAAACAGCAGTTAACTCTGTTGATATCAATGGAATTACCCATATATGTACTCATAAAAGAATTTTGCTCCATAACAGGAAATTTTCAGATGCGGAAGCCTTATTAGGACATTCACATTTCAAATCCAGGTGCTCGCTCTGGTTCGTAGATGCAAGTATCACGCATCTTTTCACTCTGATGCTGATTTGGACATCCAGATCAGAGACATCTCATACATCTATTGAGGAAACTTGAACAGACACCTGGATCAGAGGATTTACTGCGAGTCACTAGATCAAAATCAATTCAATAGTACAATGATACAACCCCTTTTTACCTTGTATTTGGACAACTGGGCCTTCTTCTCATAGAGTTCGCTCTTTGGCTCTGCTGGAGCATGTAACATGGCTTGGTACTCCGTGACCCACTGAGTCTGTGCCTTGTACTTGTCTGAGAACTCCTTTGCCAGCTGAAGGCACTTCTCTGAAGTCATGTGCTCTTTCCTGATGGAGCCAGCCAGCTCTTCAAGCTGTTCCACATGATCTCCAATTTCTTTTCTTAACTGGTCAACTTCATTTTCTTCCATGTACTTTATAGCTCGCTCCCCCTTCTCACGGGCAGATTTCAGTAAACTGTGGCCTATGTCCATATCACTCAATAGCAAAATAACGTATTTAGAAATCTATTCAAAGCAATTAGAAATCTATTCAAAGCAATTAAAAATAGTAACAATAGTACAAACTAGTCACTGATATATTTCCCCTTAGTGCTACGAAGGATTCACCTGCCACTCTCAAAATTCATTTCAGCTACTCTTGTTAGATTTATTAAGGTAGAATTTCTTTCCATATTCAAGAATTCCCCCTCTCCAAAAAAAAAAAAAAAAAAGTAATTATCTGGCACTCTGTACAGGGTGTGACATGACAACATGAAACAAATAGTCAGCTTCTTAAAGAGCGGAAAAAATATAGCAAATTGAAAGAACTTAAAGTTTTCTTCCTGACTTTTTACCTTTGTTGTGCTGCAGAGTTCTTGGTAACTGCTCTGAAGGTCTTGAATGTTGTTCTTTAGAGTCACATCATTCACCAGATCAAGAAGTACTTCTCCCTTTTCAATCACTGATTTTATTGAAGGCTCATGGGACAGAACAGTCTGCTGTATGGACTACAATGCAAGCAAGAATTAAAATACATATATTGAACACTGAAGATCTATTTCACTAACTTCCCTTTGACCTGAAGCACAGCCTTCTATCATGGTATATATCATCCTTTCCAGATGAGAAGAGCTACTACCAGTACAGGACTATGTTTCTTAGCTGTGCCCTGAGACAACAACATTGCAGGCATCTAAGAGCAATTGCTCTTTTTGTGAGTGGCTAGTAGCACGGCTGATAATCTGGAGCTGGTGAAGGAGAGGGAGTTAATATGTGTGAAGGAGTAAGTGCTAGGGATAAAACTTGCTCAGAGGAACAAATTCTGCAAATAGGTGGGAAAATATCGCCAAAGCCATCCCCTTAATGAGACAGTATGTAGACGAGTGCACAAGACTACTCTCGAGAGTATGCAATCTGATCTGTTATGTCATTGTGCCACTGGCTCAGGCAGCATGGCACATGCCAGCATCTATCAAATGACAGTGAGATACCAGCTCCCCAAACATGTAGAAAGCAAGCGCACAGCTATGACATATGACTTTGAGTACTGAAGCTGGCAAGGGGTAGTAGGCAGTTTCAGAGAGAAAGCCTTGATGCTGTGCAGGTACTGCTCAGCAATAGCCAAAACCCTGGTTTGTTAGCAACACTGTTTTATCCACAAATGTAAAGCACAGCACTATATGGGCTGCTATGAGGAGAGTTAGCTCCATCCCAGCCAGACCCAGTACACATCTTATGAAACATCTGTAATCCTGGAGTATTTTACGAAAACATCATTAAGAGAAACAATGGGGTTTGTTGTCAATTTTTTCTACTCATACTTATGACTGGAGAAAAAAACCAAAACAAAAAAACAAACAAAAAAACCCCAAAAACACTTCATTAAAATCCTAACTAAAAACAGAGGAGGCCATAGCAGCTGACTGTCTTAGATGTCAGTTGAGCTGGGACATTCAGCTTTAACCAGAAAGCTGATTAAGCCAATGTAAACAGAGGCAATGTCTGCAGTGAAGAAAGACCAAGTGATTTCTATCCTTGCTTAAACAGCAGTTAACTCTGTTGATATCAATGGAATTACCCATATATGTACTCATAAAAGAATTTTGCTCCATAACAGGAAATTTTCAGATGCGGAAGCCTTATTAGGACATTCACATTTCAAATCCAGGTGCTCGCTCTGGTTCGTAGATGCAAGTATCACGCATCTTTTCACTCTGATGCTGATTTGGACATCCAGATCAGAGACATCTCATACATCTATTGAGGAAACTTGAACAGACACCTGGATCAGAGGATTTACTGCGAGTCACTAGATCAAAATCAATTCAATAGTACAATGATACAACCCCTTTTTACCTTGTATTTGGACAACTGGGCCTTCTTCTCATAGAGTTCGCTCTTTGGCTCTGCTGGAGCATGTAACATGGCTTGGTACTCCGTGACCCACTGAGTCTGTGCCTTGTACTTGTCTGAGAACTCCTTTGCCAGCTGAAGGCACTTCTCTGAAGTCATGTGCTCTTTCCTGATGGAGCCAGCCAGCTCTTCAAGCTGTTCCACATGATCTCCAATTTCTTTTCTTAACTGGTCAACTTCATTTTCTTCCATGTACTTTATAGCTCGCTCCCCCTTCTCACGGGCAGATTTCAGTAAACTGTGGCCTATGTCCATATCACTCAATAGCAGCTGTGAAGGAAGTGTTGGTTAACAGAAAATGTATGCAAGCTCTTGCCCTGGTTTTTTTTTGTTTGTTTTTTATTCATTGTAGTTCTATTATCAGTGAAAGGCTAATCAATTTTTTTTTTTTTTAATTTTGCTAAGGACACAGAAGGAATTGCTAGAGAAATTGAATGGACTTTTCATTACAAAATTGCCTGGAGTTAAGGTGTGGTAAACTAGAAGGAAGCAGAAAAAGCAAATACTTCTGTTCTGCACTGGGCTTGTGAAGATAAACACAGAAACTGAGGACTATCAGGAGAGGATTCATACTCCAAATTCTGGAACAGATGGAAGTTTTCCCTTAGCGTGTTACGTTTAAGCTGCAGGACATACGAAAAACTCATCTACAACTCTGAGATGAAACGTGAGTTTTACTACTGAGTTATTTCAATGAGGAGAAATAAGAAGCACTTCTTGCCACAGTGCGTACTGGTTTGAAATATACATGACAGGATGCTTTGCAAGGGGCATTTATTTTAAGTTTTAACCTAAAACAAAACACATGCAAACATGCCTTACGGAAGGACAGGATTATATTATTTAGGACTATTCATAACCTCAACAACCAAACTGTGATCTAATGTGTATGACATGAGAACAGAGAGTTTTACACTGCGTGGTCTTTATCCTATTAGCTTCTCTGGGCAAGGTGAAGTCAGAATTTTGAGCAGCTAAGATGCAAGTTGAAATATAGCCTCTTCTTGGTGAACAGAAACAAAAATTGCATTCAAGAAAGCTGTACCTCTAGTTTCTGCACTTTTTTCTCCATTGCTGTTTTGTCAACCACGTCAAACTTGGTGATCACATTTCTGAAGTTCTTGTTAGTAGCTCCATACCAATTTGTGTAAGCACTAAAAGCCAATTCTGACTCCTCCATACAGCGTATTTCCTCTTCCAGAAACTTTATTTGCTCCTTCAAACAAATATGGAGGGTAGGGGGAGGAAACAAGAACCACCCAGATGTTTATCATTGCTATTAGCTAAAGATAGCAATAAATTGCTATTTATTAATAAAACCTGATATACTAAGATTAAACACATAGGTTTTGAGTTCTTTCATATCTAGCGGATAATTCTCACTGGGGTCTTGTCAGGGTGTACATACAGCAATCACTAATGTTAAAACTGAGTTAATACTAAACACTGAAAAGGTACTTATATTTTGAAATTTGAATTATGACTTGTGATTATGGTAATATGAGACGCTTACTACTTAAAGTGATCTGAAGACTGTACCTTATTAATTCAAATTTTCCCCATACCTAAGTGTTTCAGTGATAACCTGAAAACTTTTCTCTAGAGAAGTCGTCAACATTCAAACATACTAAATTCTGAATTTCTCTTCTGAAACTGCCAAACAGGACAGTAACAACATCTGAATATTTTTGAAAGAGCATTATCCCGATTATGGTTCTCTAACACATTTAGTCCAATGAAATCTACGTGTGTGTGTGCATATATGAATATGTATGTGAATATTATATTATTGAGTCTACAGTAATGAATAAACTCTGATGAAGTCTAATTAAGAAAGTCTGTTTATATTTGCTTCTTAACTGACAATTTATGACGTTACAATGAATTAATTTTCATTACTTACCAAGACATGAAGAAGAAGAGTTTGGTAGCGAGATGTAAGCTGTGTAGCCTGGCTTCTCATTCTACTTGCAGTGAGACTTTCCTCTAGTATTTGCTGAGCCAATACCCCAACTTCTTCCACATCATCTTTGTAGATTGTAATTTCTTCATGCCACTTCTATGACAAAGACATTATCCAGCTTATATGACTGATTCAAACATCTTAAACACAACAGGAATTTATTTGTAACTAAGTCAGGAAATCATTGAAAAGGAAAACAAATACATGGTTGTAAAAATGGATTTACAACAGGAAGATAAAACAGAATCTGATGAAGGTTAATGTAATGAATATGCTGGAAGTTTTATCATACCATATGGGCTGCATTTCATTACAGTAGTTTCAATACTATTTTTTTTTCCCCAAAAATAATAATAGAAATGCAACCTGCAGTTCCTATAGAATTTGCCTGAAGTTTTAAAGGTGACTGTAAAGCATAACCTTGAATCTCTTCAAATCTGCCTCCTGTGTTTATTCAGAACCATGTCTTCTCCTTGCAGTGACTAAAGGAGAACTATTACATCAACACAGCAGAGACTTTACCACACAGCTGGTCACATTTTACTCTTGTTACAACATTAAGGCTTTACCCCTCCAGGACCAATCTTTGTCCTCAGTTATGCCTTCATATACCACAGAGCATATGAATTCCAGATCTCCCTATGAGATTTCAACATTGGTATAGCCATACCTTTACCAGTAAAATGGGAGGAACCTGGACCCAGAAGGCACAAAGCTCTCTTGGATCCATCATTCTAGGCACCACCTCAGAATACATTGCAATGCTTCCTGTCTTTTTCACAGTGCAACCAGGAACTGATGTGGAAACCTCACATGGTATTTTGCTTAAGGAATGCCTTAGCTATATTCTTTACCTTCATTTGTTGAAGCTGCATCTCCTTTGTTGCTCTACCAGACTGCCTCCCAGTCCTGATAGCAACTTTCTCCTCCAGATCTGTTAGCCAGTCATTAACCTTCTCAAATTTTTTCTCCATTAACCTCAGTCTGCTCACAGTGGCATTTAATTGGCTTCTTGCTTCAGAAAGCCTGTGCTGATAAACTTGCCAATCCTGCCGTAAGGATTCCAGGGCTCGGTCTTCTATCTGGGGAATGCCCCAGGGAATCACCTCCTCTCTGGCATGGACAGCAGCATTCAATAATGCCTGTCCTTCTGCACAGTGGACCTGCAGCTCCTGTAAAGGCAGAATTATGGATACATACCCTACATTAACAGCTTTCATTCACACATGGCAGTGTGAATCTTTTAAAATAAACAAACCTATTTATTTTTACATATGTTTCAGACATCATTCCGAAATAATTCTTGATACTGTCTTCTGGACACGTATGGCATTTTCATGCTTAATAGAACTTGATTAGAAAGTATGAAGGGATTCAATCTTATTTAAAACATAACCAGGAAATTACCTTAACAAAATACAGTTGTGTGTTGTCTTAGTTTATATTTGAGATATATATTCAGATTTTCAAATGGATTCAGATTTTGTAAAGTAAACTATAATAACAAGACATATATGCAGAGTCCCTGATCGTACAAAGACCTTCTCATTATCCTGACTAAAGTAATAAATATTTCATAACTCAAACACAGACCTTTTGCTAATTCAACAACAGGTATGAAAGTACTTTAAACCAGCTTAAGATCATAACTGGGAAATTACTGAAGTACTATAGGTTCACCCTTCACTGTCACCCTAAGTGATTCAGTAATAGTCTTCCCACCTCACCACGGGAGCTAGCCTACATGACTGGAACTGCCTGAAAGTAGATGCATGTACACTGTAAGCAACAGAAGATGAAAACCCAATGAAAAGAATACTTTTGATATTCTGTGAAACACAGGGAAAAGAAGAGGTAGGCCAACATCTAAAATTCAGTGCTTGCAAGAAAGCATTAGTGTGCCCAGAGATTTCATTCAAGGCCTGACACTTCTTTCTGGAAATGAGTGACAATGTTTCCACTGACTTTACTGGAACCACTTTTGAGCAGCAAAGTACTTACATATTAATGTGATTCCAAGCTGTTCTTGAGACAAAAAAAAGAGATGTAATTTTTGCCTGGTAATTAATATTATTCTGTTACTTCACAAGTATGATTTTTTTTTTTTTTTTTTTTTTTTTTTTTTTTTTTTTTTTTGGGGGAACACATTATGTACCTGTAAGTCTCGGAGTGTCGCCTCCTGTTTCTGGGCATCACCATCAAGATGTGATAAACAGTCAAGTTTTTCCTGTTCCTTCTCCAGCCATACTTCAAAGGTCTTCAGATTTCTTTGGTACTCTTGATGTAAGTTAAGCAGTCCTTCAGCTTTTGTTACTGCCTCCTGCTTGTTAAAATATTTACATAGATGTATATATATGTCTCAGTGTATCATCAAACCAAAACATAAAACCCGGACTTCCATCAAGGTGAAAATTTTCTACCTGATACTGAGCTTTCCTAGAATTCAAGAGTACTCGGATTCTGAGGATCGTTTGATCAATTACAGGGAAAGAGGGGGCAAATGTGGGGATACAGATACTCATCCTAAAAGATTCTTCACATAAGTTTGTGACTTCTGGGATTTGAAGTTTTGATCTGGGATCACTTTTAAATAACACTTTAGTGTCTAATAACAAGAGACCTTCTTAACTTTTATACCAATTTAAATTCACTTTACTGAAGTGATTAATAAGAGTATGAGCCTAGAAATTGCATATTTTTTCTTCACATGATTTTTTTTGCCAGTGGAATAATAATCTTCTATTAAAAGTATCGAATATCTTCAGGTTTGAAGACTACCCAAGTCCTTTGCGGGCAGTTCCTACAGAGCACAGTGAGAAACAGACTGCAAGTCTTCTGTGTATGTGGGTGAGCAAGTTACAATAATTTCACAACCCAGCACTAAGATATGACCATATCTGGGGTACAGCAGGAAAGGCATCATATATTAGCACTAGACTAGTCTTTCTAAGTGCAAGAAAAGTATACTACATGTAATTCACATCCTCTAAGAAATGATGGGAACGGGGAATCGAGTTCGGGTGGAAGCAAGACAGGCTGCAACCCAGGCCAGCAGGCTACATAAGAAGAAAAACACTTTCATAAACAGCAGCCATGAACCCACTGTCTGCTTTACCCATTTCTAACAGGCCTGGGTAGTGGGAGGAAGGAAGAATAAAAGAGGAGCGTTATCAATCTTTTACAAGGCCTGTCCACGCCCAGCAGTGGGAAGAGGGAAAGAGAGACTAGTTCTCTTGCCTCTCGACAGCGGCTGCAGGGAATTACAGGTCTTGGTCTGCTCAGGCTTGGGCCACAAACCCTTGGGGAAGCTTGTCAGTTTTCCCACCTGGCCAAAGGATTATTAAAGGATTTGACCATTCTTTACTTTCCAGCTATTTGCTTTGAACTTTGAATTTCTTTTAAGGGTTGAATGTACTCTCGACACTTAACATCATCACCACAGTTGCGGGTGGGGAAGACCAAAGTCATGTGGGGTATTTAGGTGGGAAGAGAAAGAAGGGATGCTTCTTGCTACATGAGGAAAGAGGTACAGAGCTCTTGCCTCTGTGAACTACCATCCATTTCTCATTGCTCCCAAGCTGAGCAAATACAGGCAGTCTGTATAGCTTTGTGCAAGAGAAAAAGGTAAAGGTTAGAGGATCCCCATGCTAAAAGAAATACTAGGTATTCACTAGCGCTTCGCAGGACTTACTTATCCCCCTGGCAAACCTGAGTGAATTCATTCACAGAAGGTCAGAAGAAAGACAGTACATTGCATTCTTTGCAGTTGTGGAAGAGAGTACCACAAAACAGCAAATCACTTATGCATTTGAAAAACTGAATTTTGGCCCTTTCCACAGGACAAAGACATCATTGAGACAACAAAATTCAGTTTTACTACACTGCTGTCATGAAGAAAAGTTGCCTGTCTGAGCATAGATTAGGCATTATTTAATTACCACAGAAGAATTTAGGTTAACTGGAGATAATCACCTAGCTTTAAATGTATCACCAGGTGGTTTATTATTTCTTCTTTCTCTTATATCTTACATTAAAACCCATCTTGGTCTTTATCTGTCTATGCCCTAATCTTTTCCAGATCTACGATATTAACACTTATCAGTAAATATAGTATTTATCATGCTGGGTCTTTTGACATTAGGGTCAGTTCACTTGCTAATAAGGTTTGTGTTCAATAGTAAGCTTCTATAGTTGTCAACCACTTGTGAATTACCTCATTGACTGGTTGCATTTATTGCAAAACATACATTTATGCAAATCACAGATTCAGAGATGCTTCCAGCTTTTCAGTCACAATGGGTAAAATCATATCCGCACTGAAGTCAATGAAACTTTTGACATTGAATTCCTCAGACTATTCACCTGATGATTTTTTTCAGATTCAGATTTTTATAACCTTTCTGAAAAGATCTGAAGCTCAGCGGTACAGGAAGAGAGATTGATAAATCACACTAATAACTTCCTGTTACATTAAGTTACAGCTGTCCCCAAATTTTTACTCCTCATTTTACTGTAAAATAAGTGATCAATGAAAAGACTTTCTCTTTTTCCCTGTTGCAAACAAAACAAGAGGGAGTGCTATCAAGAAGAACTGTACCCTCGTTCTGTCTTTGAGGAACTTATACCGCTCCTGAAGGTCCTGGAGTTCAAGCTGAGTGACATAATGCTCAGCCATCCCACTTCCTTTCGCTTCAATCGTCTCCAACAGGCTGCTGTGACTCAACACCTCTTCACTGAGTAGCTGCAAAACAGAAAGAGAACACATTTATGAATGGGCAGCATTAAAACAAGACCACAGATTAATCCTGCAGTTATTCAGCCTTTTTTATTGCTTGTAAGGTGATATGGGCTTGTTGCTGGTTTGTTGTAAAGCAAACACACCTTTGCTTTGCTGAGGGCAGCTGTTTTTTCCCTCAGTTCAGCGTATTGCCTTTCAGAAGCGTTCATACTTGCTTCTACTTTATCCATCCAGCTGGAAAACTGACGAACATCATCCTGGTAACTTGTCCATTTGGAGAGAGCTCCTTCCAGTTGACTGTAATTTAAAAATACATATTCGTTGTGAGAGTGGAGGTTCTCACGCTATTTAAGCGGTGAGATATAGTCATATACAGTTATTCTAGACTATATTTATAAGAAAGATATATCACAAGCTAAGCAGTCTGAGACAGAGCTGTTAAAACCCTACAGGTTTTAACTAGGAGCACTGTTTGGCTGATAAAGAGAAATTAAGTTTTCCAAACTGAGAATATTAAAGAGGTCTGTAAGTTATGTAGCTAGCTGACACGTTCTAGCTTTAGTAAATAAAATGCAACTGAAAGCATAAGATCCAGAATCAGAAATTTTCTGTCCCTTCGCACACATTCAAAAGTTGCTGTATTCTAATGTTTAATTACCTTTGTTGTTTTAAATTTAAATACTTGCAACTAGTGATGCTCCACCAAAGACGACTGCATTTTTTTCCCCCCTGTATTTCTTCATTTATCACTTTGAGAATCGCTATTGGACACTGCAATTACAGTACCTTCTATGAAATGCTAGCAAGTGGAAAACCAGACAGGGTCTTGACAGAGCAACCATTAATGTCTGTGACAAGCTCTTGTGATTTCTGAGAACAATTCAAGGCATCAAGTGCAACTCAAAGTAAAATTTACCACAATCATGGAATCCACTTTTAAGAGTATACTGACAATAAGTACTAACAAAGCTTAGATAGCTCACAATTTCCACCCCTTTTTCTACTTCAAATGAATATGTCACTTAAGGCCTCTAGACCTGCAATGTTAGGCACATGCAGTCATTTTATATGAATTTGACTCTTGTAATAATAAAACTCTGGGTATTAACTTCTCAAAAATTTTGTCAGTGCTTCATTGCTAAGCATCATTCTGCACCTCATACCCTTTTTTTACCTCTTGCACTGGATACAAGCAGACAGAAGGGAAGCCCAGCTGTCCTTCAGCGTTTGCAACTGCCGTTCAATCACTGATGCTCCCTCCAGAGAAGTATTTTGCAGAACAGATTCTCCTCTTGTCAGAACCATTTTCATTTGGATTTCTTTTTCTTGTTTCACTGCTAGCAGTCCCTAAAAAGTGAGTGGATATTATTCTACTTTTATCATTAACTGGGCATGAATATACTAACTGGCTTTACTGGAAAGTGAGCTGATCAAATTTAGCAGCTTGTACAAACAGTCAATTGGAAGAGGGACAGTGTGGGGTTCACAGCTAGGCTTCACAAGGAAAAAGTGACTTTCAAAGGGTAGGTTTAGGCCATTAAAAAAAAAAATCTTGGTTGGCAGGGAAGTTTTCATGGAATCTGTGCAGGTACTTACAGTGTATCAGAGAAGGTACTGTTGGGTGGAAAAGCTGACATTCCAAAGGGAATGTCATTTAGATGGAAAACAGGAGGATTCATTCATAGAGAAAACAAGACGTGGTGACAAAGCACTTCTACAGGGCTGAAACACAGTTCTACAACTCTAGGATCTATTTGCAGCACAAAGGAACCAACATATAAACTCAGCAGACCATCAGCAATGTCAGCGTAGAGACTTCAGCTCTTGGAGCTGCGCAGTTGCAAACTAACAGCTTCTAACACTATGCAAAGTCATGAAAAGCCTGAAAGCATGAACCTGAAAGACTCAACGAACAAAAGGCAAAACTAATTTTAGTATTTTGCTACAATCTTTTGCTTTTTGATGTGTCCTTATAATTTTGAGGAATTGTCCATATTTTGGCCACGGCTCAAAATTTGAGACATCAATAATATGAAAAGTATTGTTTTCCGAGTACTGCTCTTCAACATCTTTTGTACAGTGATATCAATAGATGCTATTTTCTTAACTGTAGTCACCATTTTTAAAGCAAATAATTATAGAAAAAGCTGCTCTGAATCATCCATATTACCTGTAAGATCTAGGAAATAATATATTAAACTAACAGATGTAAATAACCTACTTCTTCCATTTAACCTTCAGCGGCCACACATCTTTTGAGGTTTTTTAAAGAATTTGCAAATATGCAGTTTTCCATGTCATAAAGGTCCCTATATCCTTCTTAGTGAAAACTTCTAATAATGAGCTCTTTCCTCTATAAAAAAAGAGTTATTTTTTGAGTAAATTGAAAATCAGTGTCTGAACGACAACAGCCATTACACTAATATGCAACAAGTAACGTAAAGTATCCTGTATTTGCATTCTTCTAACAGATCTAAAAAGACCAGGTTTTGGAGTCTGTTTCCATACCTCTAGCTTTAACATCCGGCTGTCCAGAACACTCTTGTCTGCTGTGGGATGACAGTAGGAATCCAGCATGTGAACTGCATCAGCCACCCAGTCCTGGAGGTCCTTGACACTGTGCGAGAACTGCTGGTGCTCTGCTACAACCCTATCCATTCTGGAAACTTTCTCCTGCAATTCATACAGCAATTAGCACCAGCAGCTGTTCAAAGGATCGGTTATTCCCCATACCTACTCATGGACTTTAGAATGAGTTTCATAAACTACACTCAGAAATTCTCTTCATACATCGATAATTACAAGTACACTTACTTGAGCATGGAATGAATTTTGCATACGCACACAAACGGGTTATCCAAACATAATATACAAATGAAAATTTCAGAAATGCCTCTTTTTTTTTTGTTTTCTAAAGGTAAAGCTTCACCTAATTGTCTCCTCTCATTCACAGTAGATGAGAGTTTTCTGGTTTCACTTTTTTTTAAACATCTGGTAAGTCACACCCAAACTCCATTTCAGTGTTGCAACTGAAGATAACTTGTGAAATCTGTCAATGCACAAGACAGATTTAAGCCTGTGAAGCTATGCCACTGCAGCAACATTACCTTGTTGATACTTGGAAAAGAAAGACCTGTTTTCCTCAATGACTCCCGCTGGTATAACCATTCTTCTGAAAAATTACTGACACGCATACAAATCAAAAATACGTGCTCAAGTTACAGTGCTAAAAGGCCTGAGGTGAACAGGAATACAGAGCAGAGTGTATTTCACACTGTGACAGAGAACTAAAGTCAAGCCAGTGAAACAGGCTTAGGAAGTTACAGAGAGGGATCTTCCTCAAGCATCCACGGCTATTCAAAGAATTTCAGGATTTCTCTCATAGGCTGGATCATACGTATCCTCTGCCTCAGATTCCCTCTTCTCATCCTGATATCTCCTACAAGTTCTGTCCACATAAGCCAATGTTAGTAACTCATGCACCTTTCCTTTTCTCATTTTGCAGTCATGAAAATTTATTATGGCCATGCATGCAATCATTTTCAATAAGTCATACAGCTCTAGATAGGCTTTATAATTTTTATTTCCACAGGAAAAGTAGAAATTAACAAACTAGCAATTGCCCAAACATAAATACTTTCTGAATTGAATTGTTATCCCATAACACACTTCCTATATCCGTAATTATTCTCATTACTGTAGTAACTCTAAGCCTAATTCAGTATCAAGCCTCCTTCATGACTGGAACTTTGTGAAAAATAACAGTCCTAATACGAAGACCTTCTTATCTGTTTACACAATAGAGATAGTAGAACTATTAAATGGTGAAGTGTCACAAGCACCACTCAGCAAAACAGAGTTAGGTTAAACTCTCAGTTCTTAGCCTGATGCTTTAGAGTTTGGCCTATGCCTCCCTTTGAACCTTCAAAAGCAGCCTAAGAGGTAACTTTTTTTGGAAGACCAATCTATTAGTTTTAGATGAAGATGCTGACAATGCAAATAATTAATCATCATTATAGGATGCAATGAAGTAATAACTTTTCTGTATTATGTATTTTCTAAAAAAAATAACTCCCTTAAGTTTTGAAAAATACTTCTTTCAGGTGCCACTTATTACAAAAATAAATGTCTTCAATGCTTGAAATAATCAAAATCAAACCTGACTATTGTATAATCAGGTGGGGTTTACTTTTTAAATCAAAGCACATTTTAAAAAAAAAAAAAAAAAAAAAAAAAAGACAATTCCATTTTGTTGACAGTCCATGGGAATTATCCAGGTCCTGCTTCCCACTCTTTAAAGCCAACGTGAAAGACAAGAGAGCTCAGACATACCACAGAGCAGACAAGCAAGACAACTGCAGTGTTTCACATTTCAGTCTTTCTTTTTTCCCCCACATACATCAAATGAACTGCTTAAAAGCACGTACACTGAGTGCATTACCTTTGTCAGATTGCTTAGAGTAAGATATTGAGAAGACAACTGAGACACTCTGCGCATAAAGCTTTTGCTGACAGCTTGCTCTTCCCACAGCTGCTGAGCTTTCTCTTTTAGCCTGTTGAGCTGATGCTCGTGGCAGCTTATTTCCTCAAGGACAGACTGTAAAGCACAAGCACGTTAATATTAAGAGTGGGTGCAAGAAAGCAGGAAATAGGGAAGCATGAAGGCCCCATGAAAGATAGAAGTGACATATGGCAAGCTTGCTGAGAAAGGCACACCATACAGCTACAGCAATGAAGCAGCATGTCATAAGAAATGTGGAGATGCAAAACCTGATGGAACAGGATCATCAACAGCAATCCTTGAAACCAGGTCTCATCTTATTTAGAGGTCAGGATGCTAGAATGATCAAGCTTTTGTAAGGAATCAATGAGGCCAGGAAGATGGGGCAGGAAAGTCTGGTTGTGTTAAAAAGGCTTATAAGAAGTCACCTGCAACTTTTGCTGTTCTCTCCTTTTGGAAGGAAGATCATGGAGCCGACTGCTACTTCCTTGTACCAGCCTCTCAGTTGTGGTCAGCCACTCCTGCAGAGGCTCAGCAGTTGCTTCGAAGTCCTTCATCTGGATCTTTAAGTTCTGGAAGACATGCACAATTTTATCAACAGTCCCACTGCACTGGACATAACTGTAATGCACAACACATAGATCAAGCACAAAAAAAGGACATGCAGGACCACAAAAAAGGACTGCAGCCAAACACTACACAACTCTTCAAAATAAATTACACCAGCTCTGTTCCCACAGACACTGAAAGAAAAGTCTGAGAGCACCTCTTTAAGAGACAAAATAAAGGCAACAATGCAGGACATTTCTACACAGTTGAGGGGAGGCTGAAGCAAATTTCCTCTCAGCTGACAGCTTTACAGATCTTATGAGCTTTGGCTCAATGTAAGTCTAACTCACACAGCTAAGGCAGTCTGAAAAAAGACTGATTTGGGATACAAGTTACCTAACATCTGACTGCAGTCATTCACACTGACCCCTCCGTAAATGGGCTGCCACTATTCCTAGGTGATGTACGACTAAGTTCAACCCAATCCTGGGGATCATTTCTGATTATATTCTTTTTCAGTGTAAAATTTTTGTTATAAAAATGTGTGCATAAAGGCATACGTAGGCATTCCTTCAGTGCCTGCGTATTTTTCTTGTAGGCTTATTCTGCATGATTAAAAAAAGAGCATCTGAAATAATTCATATGGAATAGAAACCTGAACAGCATAGTTCCTGTACCCTAGGTGTTGTGGTTTTTTTTTTTCCCCCCCCAGACTGATTTAGTTTTCTTTTTAGCTATAGCCTTATCACTTAAATTAAACATCAGAATGAAAAACTAAGCCTATGAGACTGAAAAATGCTTGGCTCAAAAAGATTAACCTCTAAGGACATCTTCTGTCATGGCAACCCCGAGACAAAGAAAGGTAAGTCCTTGCTACCTGAGAATTTTTTTTGAAAGGCTTTCCTGCATGATGTATTAAATGTATTTAAACTTTTTCTCAGCTGACTAGGCAGCATTGGTTTGAAACAGGAATGCCTAGGAACTTAATTCTGCTACGCTATGCAGGGAATTCCAGCTAAGACCTTTTGACCTTAAAACCTATGACCTTAAAAGAGATTATATTTTTAAGATATTCACCTTCTGTGCTGGTTGAATTGTGAGTTCTGAACAGAAAAAGGCTCTGGGGTTTATTTAAAAAGTTGCTCAAATAAATTGTTACATTTCACCAGTTTGCAATAAGATAGACAACATTTACCCACTGTACTGGGACTATTCAATTAGCACCAGTGGCAGAAATCTGTGCTAGAACAGTCCTTAAAAAAGAAAATGTGTTCTAGTAATCCAGTACATTTTATGAGACTCATGTTAAGGAATTTGAGCAAGTGCTGTCTTTGCTACCTTCAGCTACTCTGAACTACACCCTTTTGCACAAAACACCCCACTTAAAGTGTAATCAGGTCATAAGGATATAAGTAAACAGAAGTAAAATGTAAGCGGAAGAATGAGGCTTCTTGAAAATAGCTATTTATTAGTTCTGTCACATCATAAACACTTACAGCTATATAAGAAATCTAAACTGTGCTGTTTGAAACAAAAAGCAAAGAGGAAATTTAGATCCAGTCTTTCCCCACTGTGACTGGTTCAATACCTCCAATGCAGATTCCTTCTGGTGGAGGGTGGTGATAAAATTTTTCCAATCTTCTTTAGCAGTAGCAGATTTGTCCCGGATAACTTTAGCCTTTTCTTTTGGTAAAACAGAGCACAGCAGTTCTCCTTTGGATGCTACCAGGTTTAGTTTTTGTTGCCCATTCTCAGTTTCCGATAAGAATTCCTAAAAATAGTAATAAAAGAAGCTAACTGGTGAACTTTGGGGCCCAGTAAAGGTCGATGACAAGCTCCCAGAAAACTTAACAGGGATAAGAGTTTATTGTTTCTGCTCGTTAACATGCTAACTCATCTTTCAGTACATTTCATTTTCATATCGTTCATATTTATGGGATTTAGGGACAACACCTTCTTAATCCAGAAGTGCCATGCGTCTAAACAATGCATATATTAAGACTCTAGGATTACCTGTATGTTCTGCATTTCATGAGACAATTACTGGTCATTGAGTTGGGTATTATACTTCTTTAAATCTCCACGGTACAGAAAGTGCTAACAGTTTCATTTCAGGGAACCAGTATCCTGGCAGGGGTAACAGCAGGAGCTGGGGCCCACTCTGAGGCACGGACACAGGACTGAAGGCTTGCCCATGGGCGACAGCCACACTGGACTGCCAACGAGCGTGCAGGGGTGTGGGCTGATGCTTAGAGCCTGAGCAATGTCTAAGCTGTGCAATTTATCCCTCTGCATCCTTAATTTACCTTCCCTGGTTGAAAGTATTTTTCTTCACGGAAATCTTGCACAATGCTGGTGTGCAAGAAGTGTACGGAAAAGTGCATGTGCAAGAATTATACAGAAATGTAAGGAAACAGCCGGATTTTTAAATTCCAATGTACTGGGATAACGTTCTTATAACTTGTAATTATTAAAAGACTTTGTGAGCATTTAGGACTCAAAGGAATTTAATGGTCTTAAATACCAATATTTTAAACTGTTACTATCATGATTATGTGATACACAAATAGTTTTATATCCATAATCATAAGGTCACATCCACGTTCAGAAGTAACAGGCTTGATACCAAAATTACTAAGTCAGGTTCTGATTCTGTGTTATGCTAGAGGTCTTAGTAGAGAATGCAAAGGGTCTGTTAGCATCGAGAAACTTGGTTCAAGTTCTGGCTATATTAAAATCAAAGATATAATTGCCTTGTGACTTAATGATGTCAAATGTGCTAACAGACAGAACACTAACTTTTAACAACAATATAAATTTTAAGTTTATACAGGTTACCAAGACATCTCTAGAAGTCCTAAAGCAGTTACTGCATGTCAAAAAAAGTTTATTTCATCTAAAGCAGCTTTCAGGGAGGAGGAGAACAAAATAAGGTCTTATGCTATGAAGAGGCTGCAGTGGTAAAAATCTTACCACTGTTGAAAAAAACTCCCAAACTTGCTAAAACTCTTATATTTAATGCCAAAAACTACTAGGATTTTTTCCCCGATATTTCCTCTAAATAAATTCTCATTTTGGGGTAGTCAAAGATTTGATATATTAATACAGTATTGTTTACGCTTTTAAGTAAATAATTTAAGCATGGGAAAGTGAATTTACCAAAAGGAGGAGGAAGTGATTTGGCTTTTGGTATTTTCTGAGAAACTGATATGAATTTCTTCTGTTATACTATCTAACTAAAGGTTTAACAGTTTCATTATGTAATTCTCAGTTTGCTATTTTCAGTTAAAATTATAGTTATATTCTATTCATAAAAGTGTGTCTTTCACTTGCTTTATTAAAATAAACTTTTAATTGGCATTCCTTTGCACAGAGTTGATGGGGCTTGTTTTAGCTTTATGTGAAAGATATACTTTTCAAATGCCTGCTTGCACTGCATACATTTTAACTCTGTTCTTCCACTATAAGGGCTCTACTTTCATATATGAGGAAAAATATTTACATAACTTTGAAATAATTCCAGGTACTAAGTCCCGATTCTGATGTCGTTCTGATTTTATGTTACTCTCTTACTTTAAAAATATTTTTTTTCCTATTGTAAAAAAGAAACAAACAAGGAAAACTACTATGAGAGACAATGACTACATACAAACTGTAGCCCAACAATTAAACTAAACAAACTAGATTAAAAAAGAAAAAAATAAGTGTTTATTTCCTTGCAATTAGTCACCTTTAGTGTTGACAATAACAACATTAACAAAAAATAGTAATTAACCAAACAATTCAACCTGAGTTTTATATGAAACTGATTGGTTCTCCCTTAGACTAATATTTTACTGCTATAGTTACCTGTATTTTCTGCAGACTTGCTGAAGCTTCACTGATATTTTGAGGCACGTCAAAACATTTGGCTGTGGTGACTTTTGCATTGACCAGCCACTGCTGGAAGTCCCTAAAAGCCGTCCGAAATCTTTGCTGCAAGATCTGCTCTTTGCTTTGACATCCTTTTGAAGCTTGCAGGCAGAGGCTGGGTTTATCGCATCAGGGAAGCAGAAAAGAGCGAGGGAGGGAGGGAGGAAAGGCAGGACTCTGTTAGGTGACAATGCTATTACTTCTCTGAAATTCAACACTACGGTTAGGTTAACATTAGAAGGGATCAGTCTGGGTCATCATACCCTTCTTCTGCAGCTACAGAAGCCAAAAGCTATAACCCCCTGCAAGAGACAACAGAATCTTGCGTCTGAAATGCAGGTGTCATACTCCCAGGTAAATAAGCTAGAGTGACCTGAGAGAAAGCAAGAAAGCCAGCAAATGTTAGCTCCCCTGTTTCAGGGAACCGGCTAGTCAAAGAAGAGTAAACTGAAGGACGAAATTAAGAAAAAGATCTTAAATAGCTGGTATAGCTTGTTCCTCCTTCAGACAAATAAGCCATAGAGCTACCTCACAGATTCTTACAAGGATTCCTCCTGTACTAGGTCAGGTGTGGATGTACATTGGTTTCAGCTGAGTTTAGTGGCATAGCCTGGCTTTTAGAAAAAAAAACCCAAATTGCTACTTTTTACAACCTCTGTTGACATCAAAATCAAAATAATGATTCTAACCATTGTATACCTCTGTTTCTAATTCCAAAATTCTAATTAATGGTTCCCTAAAAGACAGCTCACGCCCACACACACACGCACGGGATTGATTAACTATAAACAAGACGAATGTGTACCTGTTATACTCCTTGATCAACCCTGACACTTTTGAAGAATGAGTACTCAAATCTCTGGAAAATCTACAAAGATCATTTAACTGAGTTTTGATCTCATCTGTCATATGTTCAGACTTTACCAGAGCATCCAATGTTTCCTGTTAAAACAAAACAAATGAACAATATTGGTGAGTAAATTTAAAAAAAAAGCAAACCTTTTGAATCAAAATTTATCAGAATTTAAAGTCAACTTCATTTATGATGTATGCACGTCACTTTCAAGAGTATTTTAGCAGTCAAACCTACAGAAGTTTATTTGAAATTATGAGCTTCTAGAGACCAAATTTCTGGAAGCCTCAACTTTCTTAGCTCAAAATGTTCTCAAAGAACAGTTTAATATATAAATTTCATTTTAATAAATGACCTATGGTATTGTCAGTCAGCTGTATACGTATAAAAGTACATACAATTAGGGAATAGCAAATAATATATGTTTATATAAATATAATTAGCCTGTCGGCCTGAGTTTAGTATGTTCAATAAAAACTGTTTTGAGCTGTATCCAAAAAATTAATTTACGCACAAAGCTTTTAACAGCTTCAACTCTTTCACAGAGGTCTTCATAATGTAAAAGTACAGCTGCTCACAATCCTGTGAGAGTAAATGGGTTACTGCCTGTCATCGCTGCACTGGAAAGACTCTTGCTTTGGAGACAGCTAAGCCAACAAAAAAAAAAATGCTTTTGTTGGCTTAGCTTATGTCACTGGGAGAGGTGTGATAACCACTCCAACGAAAACAGTCCTTGCTGACGTCCACAGCATCTCCACTGCAGAATCCCGCCAGCTACTCCAGCATAATGAGCAGTGCAGACTTGGCTCCTGGTCTCACTAGAAACTAAATTCTCCAGGCATTCCTCTTAAACTACCAGGGAGAAAAGACAATCTCCTAGCTAGTTACGTTCACCACAGCAGAGGTTCTGCAGCGCAGGCAGGGTGTTTGGCACATATAGATTAGTCTGGCTAAATCTAAGTGCCAGTCTGGAAGAAATGTACAATATAAACTTAAGAAACTTTATAAACATATAAGATCATATGAAAGTGAAGACAGATTTGAACGGGGACATGCAAGTGGGACAAGGAAGTCCCCAGATCGTGTTTCTGAATATATAAAAAAAAGGATGATTGAAAATATACATAGTAAACAGTGTGTAGTAATCTATTGGCACTAAATTGAATGTTCAGGAAAGGTACAAATGAAGTACATGAAAATATATGCAGAAGGTTTTCAAAATATCACAATCTACATTACAGAGATAAAAATGCTCACTGGGTAGATTTTTCATTGTAAAGTATTAACTAACTCTGCAATAAACAGATATCCCTTTATGTAAATCAAAAGTAAAAAGAAATATTAGCAAGGGTCTAGCAAGCCGATCAACAGACTTAGTAAGAACAGCAAATGGACAAAAGCCAGGGATTCCGCTCATGTGTCTGCTGCCCACAAGCAGTTTTGTGCTTGCTTCATATCCCTTTTCCTGCAAAAGTCTGCAGAGCTGTGAAATGAATTTTTTAAGACCTATATTGTGCATTTCTGAGCAAGTAAAAAAAAAAAAAAAAAAAAAAAAGGAAAAAAAAGAGATTGCTTATTTGTGGTACCTGAACTGCCAGGAAGAAAAAACACAACAGTCCATTCTGAGAAAAATAAAAGTACAAGCATGCGTTGGCTATGAATAACAGTGGTTTAGACCATAATCACAGCTCGATTATATTAACATTATTGAAATCTGTTTGCATTTATAGATCACAGGGAAGCCCTGTAAAATTAAGTCTAGAGACATTTCAGATGTATTATGTGTACAAACTTTCATGTGTTCTTGTGAGTATGAAAAAATATTTTGCTATAGCAGATTTTCAGGATTCCTCTGATTCACATTATTCATGCTCGTATTATGGACTTTATCTGCTTTGAGTCATTCACTCACCAGAAATCTGTTCAACCATAATTAAAAGATACTTGAAATAGTCCCACTGCCAGTTTGTTTCGATGCCATATGAAGTAGCATTGGAATTAAATAGTTATGTAATAGCAATGATGCTTAGAAAAAAATGTAAACTAACTACTTTTTGTTCATCTTACTTTATGTTAAACTACACACAGGACTTTTTTTGAAAGCATTAGGAATAACAGCACAATGGCCGTTACCTAAACACAGGATGTCACAAATTGTGTAGGACAGGAATCACCATAATGAAATACTAACAGCTTTTTTTTTGGTAAAGAAAACATTTCCTAAGAGTAGCACAGGGTTAGAATTGCCTGTTTTCGATGAAATTTTTCAGTTTCAAATAACCTAGCTCAATAACTACCAAAAGATTATTCTGATGACATACAGCCTTAAGCATAGCTTATTAACAACCAGGAACGTTAACCTGCAAACCAGCGTGCCTTTAACTATGGCATTTTCCCATACAGAAACACTGATAGCACTGTTGCAGCCACTTGGATTTAATTTTGCATCTGACAATTACCAAAATAATTTGCTGAATTCCAAGTGCAAGCTCTGTTGCTCTTATGTTGCGCATACCTAAAGGAACGGAGCTTGAGTATAACAGAATGAGCTTGCCAATTCTGAGAATTAGGAAATGCCTTTTTGATTCGTGGCCTTGGCTGACATGGCAACAGAATCACTGTGAGACAATGGAAATGGAAAGCTGCAGTGCTATTTTACGTTCACAATAGGACCTATCCCTGGGGTCCAGAAATGGAAGGATTACTGTCACATTTCTTCTAACTATAAATAAAATTACATAGTAGGGCTGTGCATAGTAAGTCTTGAGATTTCTCTGTATTTTCCCCATTAGCCAAAGTTTACAACGGTCTAAGCTAAAGAAAGTGTTGTTACATAGAGCTATGGTACATACACAGTATATATACTGCTAATAAAAGCAATTATCCTTCGGATTTAGTGCTTCTCCATTTATAAATTTAAAAAATGTCTGGTAATTGTTGCTGTACGTTGATGACAATTCCATGTCTTCCTTTCCTTTTTAAAAACATATAAACATGGAAGACTGCGTAGTTGTATCCTTATTTGCTCCAATGTAATGTCAGCGTTGTTACTCCTACAGATGTGTACTGGCACTCAAGGAAGCAGGTTCCATAAATCTGTGTCAGGGAATTCTGTGAAAGGGGAAGCCACAGAAATAACTTGGCACAGACATCGGAGGAGGAGATTTATAATCTCAGTTCAAAGAGAAGGCATTCTGGGGTTTTTTGAATATTTCTTCAGTCAAGGGGTCAGAAGGCGGGCATCACACATCTCTCTCCCTTTACTGAAACTGCTTTATTGCAACACTACCCTAAACGGGAAATACTCTGTGTCTTTTCTCAACATCTGTGATTCACAGTAGTCGAGACACATACAAACACGTATCTTGACTGTTGTGAAAATATATATATATTTATATATAACATGTGTGAGATACATGCACGTGGAGTTTTTTTACCAGAAGACAATCAGGAACAGAAACAACCTCTCTATATCTCTAAATTCCACTGCGTCCCACAGCAAAGCAATTAGCAAGTACACCGGTGTCCAGTATAACCTCTTTAAATATTGGACAAGATCTCAACGTGCATAATGTGAAGGATATTTCAAGAAATGGAAAGTATAAGCTCAATACACTCCTGACAAATTATAAGTAAGAAATGGCTCCAGCTGCTACTCGGCTTTTAGGAAATGCTTTCCGTTTCCCTGATGGAGTGCTACTCCGGATTGAAACACTGCGCAACTTGGAAGAGAAGTGGAGAGCTGGTGCGCTAGCTCCTTCACTTTCTCAGGGGCGAGCCCTGTATTTAACATCTAAGGTCCGGGCAGCATTTGCTAAGCCTTGTACAGCAGAGGCCAAGGAGAGAAGCGTCTTCTGTAAACACCGCTTGCTGCAAGTACAGTTAGGAAAAAAGTTTGGAAAGTTGGGACTTCACAGAAATATTTTTCACAAATACGTTTTGTTATTTTCTACTTGACAGTCCCGCTTGGCAGAAGTTTTCCGCCCGCGGTAACTGTGCGTTTACAACCGAAAAGCTGCCAGGAAAAGAGACGTGACCTTACTTTCTCCTTGCGCCAGCTCTCCACGACCTCGGCGTCGGTGTGCCGGCTGTCGAGGGGGGCCAGGCTCTGCGACCAGGCGGCCAGCAGCCCGCCGAACCGCTGCGCGGCCTCCTCCAGCTGCGCGACCCGCGCCGCGAACTCCTGCTCCGACAGGGCCATCTGGCTCAGCACATCCCGCAGGCTGCTTTGGCTCCGGAAGGCGCTCTCTTCCCACTGCTTCCAGTCCGACTGCAGGGCCTGCATCTCGGCGCCCAGCAGCTGGCACCCGCCGGCGGTCGTGTCGCGCTTCGCGGCGGGA